TTAATTAAGATTGCAGAGAGATCAAAAACATCCTTACTTTTAGAGCTATTCATCTTATGTACAACAGATAGCACTTTCTCACAAGAGACAGGTTCAATGTTAAAAGAACATGTTGGTCTAGGATGCTGGGCTAGGAGGTTTACAGCGGGGGTTGGTGGAGTACCAATTGCATCCCGAGTCTGTTGGACAGAATTAATGAAGAAATCATTCAGCTCCTCAGCAGAAAGTCTAGTAGTTGGTTTTGCTTTTGCAGGGGCCCCCTCTTTTTTGATGACAGACCAAGCGGCAGCACAAGAATTTTGAGAGGACTCAATGAAATTAGCATTGTGTTCTTGTTTTGACCGTACTAAACTCACCTGGTAATCTTTCTTTATCGCTTGATACCTCCTCTTGGCTTCAAGGGTTTTTTCTTGTCTATAAATATCGTAAGAAAGAAGCAACCATCTTCTCAATATTACAATAGTCTCTGATTTCCACTCTGGAGCCAGTGGATGCTTTGTATTCTTAGGTCTAGACACTTTTTTAGGATAAGATTCTTGAAAGAGCAAAATAAATGTTCTTAAAAAATTACTAAAAATAACATTAGCATTACCAGCAAGTAAAATATTCCAATCAACTGAGTTGAGAGCAACTATAAAGTGATATGTTTTATCAAGAGTAATTGGTCGATAAGTCATAGGAATATAAGGATCTTTATTCTTGGACAGACGGATATCGAGACTAAACTGAATGCCATCATGGTCACCTATGGCATGTTTCACCACCTCTACTTTAAAATCTTCACGAGGAAGATCTGTGGCAACATTGTCCAGACAAGAGTTCTCACGAGTCGGCACCCAGACAGTACAGTAAAGATTCAGTGATTTTAACAAGTTTATAAAATCTTCAGACAAACGGTTTTGTTTCAACACATTAATATTCATGTCACCACCCAGGATAATATGGTTTTTTGCCCTCTTGTTGCCTAGGGACAAAATAAGGTTCTCTAAGCTAGACAAAAACATACCTAGATCACCATCAGGGGACCTATAGACACCAATAAGGATAATGTTCATAGCCGGGAAATGAACGCAGACAAACTCATGATGTAACTCTAAACAAAAACTATTTACATTGATAACAATAAATGAGTCACTAAGATCTAGGGAAGCAAATACAGCAACCCCACCTTGCCTGCGTTGAGAACGACAAAAAGCTGAAACATAAAAATAACCCTTAATGTTCACAAGCTTAATATGTTCATCATTCAACCAGTGTTCCGACAAGCATAATATTTTGTATTTGTTATCAGTGAGCATCATTTCAAGTTCCATAACACGGGTGTAGCATAGACACTGGACATTTAAAAATAGTAAGCAAAAGTTTAGGAATTCCATGTTGTTTAAGGCTGTGCTAACTTTGGCTGCCGACTCCCTAAAAAAGTTTGAGAGTTTATAAAGTTACGTTGAACGTAACTTATTGGAACTTATTGGAGTAAGTAAAATGCCAGGGACATGAAAACGTACGTTTTTAAATTTTCACTCTGTTGTCATTATTGCATTTGAATAAATTACTGACTTGAAATTGCACTCTAGTCATATTGCATAATTTATATTAACTTGCTGTTAAAATTTATTCATCGATTAGAGTTTACCTAGACTAACTTATTATTGAATGTAACATATTCTTGCCATCTTGTGCCTAGTTGTACAATTATGAAAATAATTCATTGTAATTGGTGCTTGGAAGATCAAATAAAAACATTTAATAAATACTGTGCCGTATTGTTACTTACTAGGAAAATGTAGGCATTTTAACGTAACATTGAAAGAGAGCACCGAGTTAAGGGAATTGCACAATGTCCGCAAGTTATTTATAGTACAGTACAAGAAGAGCACGGCTTTGTGCAAGAAAGAGTGCAACAATGTGCTACGTCACAGACTACAACGAATCTCTCCGAATGTAACCGGATATAGCCGAAGTTGTGTGCTGAGGTCATATGTGTTGGAACTTGGAAGCAGCTGAGTGGCAGTGCAGTGCAAACCAGATCGCACCAGTTCTAGTTATAACCTCGGAATTGTGCTGTTGTGAACTATGCTTTTGTGTCCGTTCGCTATTTAAGCTAATGTATACGCTGTGTTTGTGTTTTATCGAGCCCTTAGTTCCTTCTCCGCCCGATATTCGTATCACGACGTTTACGTAAGTGCGTGAGTGAACGTAGTGCAGACTGTACATGTCAATGAACGGTAGAACTCGATCACGGCAGATTCACAGCCAATATTTTGTTTCTGCCACTGCGTTGTTTACAAGTGCACTCAAAGTGAACAATCCGCGACGGGAATGGTGGCTCGATTGCGGTTCGTTACTCAGAAAGATCGCTCAGTGTTTGCAAACAGCGCCCTTTTACTGCTGCAGGACCATTTCATTAGCTGACGACCAGCACTTGGTCAGGAAATATGTATTACCGGCTTTAAAAAGAATTGGGCCCTTTGGTGTACTAGGCCCTAGGTACCGACATGCTGCAGGTTTGACATAATATATCGAAGGCTAAATAAACCAATAAGATACACACAATTTTACATATTTGTAGGCCTTTTATGTGAGTCTAGGCTAGGCTACACAATTGTCTATTTAGGCCAAAGATCAACTCTGTTCTCAACTTATTGTTGCCATGTGTTGCTAACTTAAACATTTCAAAGTCGATGAGATAAGCATTCAAGGATTCAAAATGTGAAAGATTTCTCCAGTCAAAGGCCAAAAAATGTGACACCTAACAGTGTTAAGGTTAAATATTGCCTATTTATTTACCTCTGAGTGAATCGCAGGACTGTTGATTAACTAACTTAGGAAAGAAAATGCCTTGTAATGAATTTCTTTGTTGTAACTTAACAAAATGAATTTGTCTAACTTATAAAATAAGTTAACTGAACCGTGAGCACCGTTTTACTACATCCTAGGACTTGGAAGTACACCAACTAACAACGTAAGCTAACTTACTTAAGTTACTCGTTGTTTAGTGATAAAGTGAATAAAAACGTTCCTTTGAGTGAAAAGTCGGTAAAACGATGCTATTATTGATTCACACATTAACAATGACTGTGGCAGATATTGAAGTGTCTGCTAAATTCTTTCATGTTATGTGTCCTTCAAGTAATCAGCGGCACCGGGGATTTGTTTCCAAGCGCGTTGGAGTTGCATGGAGTAGAAACAAAAATCAGGTTATATGCCGTCGTTCGAAATTTCTCAATGGTCGTCCACATTTCCGACAAAATCTACAAGCAATGCTCATGTAAGTTTGTTTTCACACTCTGTGTATTAAGTTAGTTTTCTTAGCCTACCTTAAACAAGTCTGTAGGCCTAAGTTATCAGACTTAACTTAAGGTACCTATTAACTTACAAGTGGTTTAATAAGTCATATTCACGAGGTTTAATAAGTTAGTTGGTTATCTTTATTTCACACTGACTATCTGTGTTAGGGCCATCTCTCATAATCATTTTGAGATGGGGATACTAGGTGTGTATTTCAACCCAAATATGAGTGAAGGATGAGTATAATGATGTGAGATGATCTGTAGGCTTAAGAATATTTTGTAAACATCTAAGTTAAGTAATTAACGGAGGAAAAGGAATATAGTCACTTAGGCACAAGCTAAGTAAGACAAGAAGATATAAATAAGGTTGAATCACTAAAATTGATATTTAAGTTAAAGAGATACAGGCCTAGGTTTAGAAGTTATTATGTTTAATGATACTAACTAATCTCGACACCTTGCTCTTTTATTAGTGTAGGTTTACAAACCAGTAAAACCTATTAATTTATTTGAGCAGCAAAATTACTCAGCTTGTTAGACTTTGAACTCGTAAAAAATGTCATCTATGAATAAGCTGAAAGTGGCAAGTAATTTCTTTATGAAATCCAAACTGGCATAGTAGGCTACTGTAGGCCTCTTAAAAATAAATAGGTATAAACAATTAATTGTAACCTAGGTCTATTTAACTTCTTTGTTTTGACCAATGATTTGCTTATAGGCCTGGTATAGAGGTGACAACCCCTAGAACTCTTTAACCCTTAAACAACCACTAAGAGATTAGACAAAACTTCCACTGTGTGGTTAGGAGTATTTGAATGCAGCATTACTAAAAAATTCTAAAATTAACTAGGAGTTAAGTTCTACCTGAAACCTAATATTAAGAGTCAAGATTAGAATAGGCTACAGTAACTTGACTGAATTGGATTTGTTTTGACCATTGTTCTTAGTGTGGTTGAGCATTGGTCGAGTACGGTATTCTAAAAGCTACCTATGTCTCCCTGGCCAGGAGACTGAACTCGTAGATTGAAGGTTTTCAGGTCTGGTGTGTTAACTCATGTGTTCATCTGTCTGAGGCAAAGCTTGTCCGAGGCCTGTAGGCTACTTAAAATAAAAGCGGGCAGCTTAGGAGGTGTAGAATCTTTGTGAACGAAAGGTGCTTCCAATTGAGCATGTTTTATGTCACTTTTCGTCTTCAGTTCCTTGAAGACACTTAAGTGTATGACCTGGTTTCAGCAAAGGGTTTGCGATTTGCCTAAGAAAACATGCAAACATAATTTGAATCATTTATCGGTCTGTAAGCCCATTATATTTTTGAAGAACTACGATTTTATGTACATCTGCATCTGCACACTCAAATTTCAAAACAATACATTTATTGATTGTTTAACAGTCACAGTTTTTAGTACCGTAGTTAACTCAACCCTGTAGCTGTAGGCCTACTATCATTGTAGGTTACAAAATTGTAATTGTGCTATACCTATTCATACTATCAATTAAACAAGTGGTACACAGCCTATTTCATCCAGTTGTGAGTGAGCGGGTTTGGGTGTAAATGATTGGACTGAGACCAGTAATTGGTTTTAGTGAGAATCATAAGACCAATGATCAATGATAGCTGGATCCAGTTATCAATGTCCAGCTATATATTCATATTGTCTTAGGAATTAATCATCTAGGCCTAGTTTTTGCAACACTGTACATGTGTTTCAGAGGGGCACTGCAGACCAGCAATGTTAAGCCGCAAGGGTCCGGTGATATACAGATGATCAAGACGTCCCACACACCTCCTATGCCAGCCCTTGCTGATAGACCTCAGAACAATGACACTGTGCAGGTACGTGTGTCTGTAGTCCACAGTAATAGTCTACATAATCTAAAAGTTGTACTCAGTGGTGTAGTGGAGAAGGAATGCATTTTTCCAAAACTCCAATAGGCTAAGTTATATTTATTGGCGACCCATGTTTTCTCCAAACAATTGTAAGCGTTCCCGTACTGGAAAATTTACGACTACGCAGTTCAGACAAGGAAAAAAAGTGTTAACAATCTTCTTGCTCAAGCATGAGATGTCAAAATTTGTAGATATTGCACAGAAAAATCAACAATTCTCATAAAATCGTAACTTTTTAAAACAAATTGATGTAGTATAACTGGTGTTTGTTGGAATATGTAGGACAAAGTACCTACCGAGTACACAGCTAAAAAATAAGATAAAACACAAGATTGGTATCAGAACCTGTTTAATGTAAGCGTTTTAAAGGAATCCACGAGGTTATTGTTTGGAAAAAATTAAACCTAAGTCCTACTGTCTATAAAGGCTTTTCTTAGAAATATTAGTCCTAAGCCATTGATTTTTCAAGTATTTGTGTAAGCAGTTAAGAACAAAGTCAAGCCTCCAAACAAATGTCTGGTCTCTGACAGCCGTTTATCCAATTAAAGTCAAACTTGATGCGACTATTCTCATCCCAAGCTGACTGACAGTGGCATGCCTCAATGACTAATGGGGTCAGACTGTGAGCCTACAATCAGTGGCGGGGAGTATTTTGGAGTAGAACAATGTATTTACTATTTTGGAATAAAGAACTCATGACTTTTAATTAGTAGGAGTAACCAACCCCCTCTGTGACTCTCCCAATTTTTTTAAAATTTATAGTTGACAAATAACTATAATTTTAATTTATAATATAACCTTATACCTTTCAGTTGGTTTTTGCCCAGGGGCTACTTCTAATGGTCTATCAATGTGACGACATTTTAAAAAGTTCTTTCAAATTGGGTGGATTTCAATAGGATCTCTTGTTCTTTGTTTTCTTGATTAAGTTAGATTTTATAACTTGAAGCATCACACTACAGCAGTATTTTCTGCTCTAAAGGCAATGGTTTACAAGTAAAAGGATTTTTATGATTGAAATTGAAAAATTAAATCGGTTTTTTACAAACTCAGTAAGAAAAATGAAGTAAGATTTTGTAAACATTTTACTGCTTGCTTGACATTAAATTTGACAAGTTGACAGAAAAAAAAAAACAACTCAAGAATGTAATTGTAAAAAAAAATCAATCTCAAACAACAGTAGGCTGATTCATTCGTCCTGTAATAATGGTTGACTATTGTTTATTAATCATTTCTTTCCCAAACACAGTGTTCTTACATTGTAAAGCTAGAGTGGTGCAGTTTAAACCAGTTTACTTGACCTTGTGTCGGTGCCATCTGTTATTAACCTGCAAGAATTACATTTGCTACAAAATATTGCAGTTTGCAATTACATCATGAAGAGAAGAGACGAGATTAAATTATGTTAAGAGATGTTAAGGTTTTTTGAATGTTTCTATTTGCTGGATTGCTTTCATTATTGAATTAATTTTACACTGTGTTTGAATGAATTATGTGTTTTTATTTCAAATATTTAGTAATTTTAGCTTTGAATATTAAAAAAATTAAGATTTTGCAATATTCTTTTAAATAATGTGGAAATAGAATAGATTAATAAATTATTACAGTCTAATTATTGGTGTGGTTTTTAGCACCAAAGATTAGTATAGCAAAAGGTGTTGATGAGAGATCCCTATAGTCTGTATGATGTCTCCTGGCCTTTTATCTACCTCGGGCTGGCCTAGGCCTTTAGCAATTGGCCAATCCCTAGGAAGAGGAAAGGTCAGGAGACAGGTTCCATCATACAGTGTTTAATACAGAGACTGTTCTCTTTAGTTACAGAGACCTGAGCAAGACTGGTCTCGTGTTAAAAGCGGAACTCCAGCTTTAGGAATTCAGGTTCAAATCCTGCCAATCCCCGATGGGGATTGCCTTGTGATAATCTGTGACCTCTTTGTTCAAAACCCCTCTTATGCTGAACAATTGAAATTGGGCTGTAATCAGTGTTTTACTCAAAAGGAACTTAGTAGATATAAACCTACTTTTTACTGTTGAACAATGATTTCCTTTTTTAGCGAATTGGCGAATTTCAATTAGCACCTTTTAGCAATTACTGTTGGTGGCACAGTAAAACCTAGACCCGAAACTGATATACTTTTTTATTTTGATGTCCGTCAGTAGCCAAAAAACAACATTCGTTCAAATTTTGATATATTATACTGTATGTACGTTTGTGTCCGTAAATGTGATCACTCGAGTAATTTTGACCCGATTTTGATAAAATTTGGCTTGAAGGTGTAGGGCAGGATAAACTTGAATGAGTTTGTGAACCAGCAAGATCAGGTCATAGAAGCAAAGTATTATAGGGTTTTGAAAAAAAAAAAAAAATAGTTTTCTTCAAATTATTACCCTTAAAACATCCAAATGCCCAATATTTATCACAGCCATTGCGTAGAGCATAAAAAACAAATAATATTGTATATTGAAGAACTTTTGCAAGCCAAAAATTTTAGGCTAAGGAGGGAACTCCAAAAAACCACACATTTAAAATCGCCATGTTATTCGTATGGAGAAACTGAAAATTGTTGTAGTTTGCTTATGGTTATTGTTGATCTATTAGGGCAAATTTATTTATTTTATTTTATTATCTTCTATTATTCTAATTCTGTAAGAATTTCTTGTGCACAGCAAAACTCTTTAATTTATTAACCGATTTTGATTATTGATGTGTCAAATTAAAGGGAATTATCTGCAGAAGTCATGGAATAATTTTTGTCACGCTCAGTTCAATGTGCTTCGCCCCACTGGGCTTTAAAGTTTCCATGTATTTTTAATTATATAAGTGAAAATTTAGTTAAGTTTATCAAACAATCATTTCCTTTTAAAAACATCTGTCTTCATAAAAATAACCTCTTTCCCTTATGTCATTTTAATATTTACTTTTTCTGTTTATTTATCAGTTTACTTTCAAATACAATGATGACTGATGAAATAAATAGATCACCTTTATGGCCAATGTTTAAAAAAAACTTCACTTGCTAAAAACAAGAGAGCTAATCCAAGCGAATCAATATTTGCTGAATATCTTTTACGAATAGGGAATGGCTATGAGAGCTATCATAATGATCTTGGTGATTCATTGATACGTCTTCCACCACAATGTATTGTGAATGAAAATATGATTGACAAAATCTTCAGTGAAGGATTCTCTGAAGATGCTTTAAAAAATACAAAAACTCATGCAATACTTTAACCAAAGAATGAACATTGTGACGAAATAAATAATAAAATAGTTGAGCGACTAAATAATGACAGTCGAGTTTACTACTCAGTGGACACATAGATTCAAGAAGAGGGGGACCAGTTACATGTAGCTGGTGAATTTCTTCACACTTTAGCACCAAGAGGTTTACCTCCTCACAAATTATGCCTTTAAAAAGGTGTAATTGTAATTTTACTAAGGAATTTAAATCCACAAAAAGGACTGGTTAATGGAACCAGATTAATGGTAAAGAGATTAATAACAAAGTCCTAAATCTTGAAATTATTACTGAAAGTTCGGCTGGAAAACAAGTGTTACTGTCCCAATTAAGTTTAGAACCATCAGGAATTTTTCCCCTAAAATTCAAACCTTGACAGTTCCCATGTCGAGTCGCTTTTGCCATGACCATTACAAAAAGTCAAGGAGAGACACTTGAAAAAGTTGGTTTGTATATGAAAGAGCCCTACTTTCAGCATGGGGCATTGTACGTAGCAATGTCAAGGTGCCGCACTTTTGATGATCTAAAAATAATGGTTAAAGAACAACGAAACCAAAGTCATCTGGCTAAAGACGTTAGAGTGTTAACAAAAAACATAGTATGGGAAGAGTTTCTCATTTAACATTTTAAAAGTAAGATGACAATTTTAACTGGTCTGTCAGACAGAATTCTGTAAGCCTACTCTGTTAGAACCTTTATTAAAACAGTATCGAGCTTAACATTTTTATTTATTGTAATTAAAAGTTTAGCTCTTAAAAGTTTTTTATTTTTTAGTAGTGATAAGTTAAGAGTTAAAAGGTTATTTAAATTTGTTTAATATATTGAAATAAGTTAAGATTATTAACTGGAAACAGCTAGTAGGCTACTATTAACATTTGGTTAAAAAAACACTTTTTACCTTTTCTGTAGCATATACCTTAGTGAAATATAATGTTTTAAATTGGAAATAAATATGACAAGGTTAAGGAAATATTTAAGAAAAATCCAATCAGACAAATGGAAATTCGCATAGCTGCAGCACTTGTCATGCTAATAGATAGTTGCATCTGTTTAGCCTGAAGGTGAGGACTGATATTTATAGGTTGCGTACATTGTACAAGGCAATACTGGTGATAACCAGACACAGCTCACCTGGCCAAGTGTTATCAGTTAGCTTATCACACCTCTTGACAGCTTCATTTGACAGTCTAGTATAATGTTTCTGTTTACCTGTGCAGTCGCGACACATCAATCAATTCTGTGTGTTTTAGTTTTATGGTTTCATGTTTATCTCACTGATGGGCAGTCTGGCTAGAAAATTGAGTAAGGTAGACAACATATGACTTCGACATGTAAAACTGCTTTCATTTATAAAGGACTATGACATTAATTGGCCATTAGTTTATGTAAAATATGACTCAGATTTTTTATTGTTTTGTCTCTGACAATGCTTCAAGATCTTCTTCCAAATTGTTTTTAATTTGTTAAAATCCACTAAAATCTGATAAATTGGTAATTTTGTCTCAATTGTCTTGTTTTATTTTGTTGTAACTTTTAAGTTTTAGTTGTTCTAACTTATCAATTGACCATGCGGTTCACCATTGCCTTTGCAATGAAGAATGTTGTGCAATGAAATACTTATGACTTATGGTTGGTGGTCCTTTTGTTAAATTTATAAAGTTCTTTGAGAAATTGTTTTTTACAAAGTAAATTTATACTTATTTTATTTGTAATACTCGGGCGAGACTTCTTTGCAGTCTTAGTGTTTATTGGCTGAGTTAAGCAGTTAAATGTGTTAGACTAATGAACCTTTCTAAATGAATCAAAACCAGTTTTAACTGAACCAGATGATATCTCCTCTCTGTTGCATCTTTGTTGCATCATTTACAATTGCGTTAAGTTGTGAAGTCATTTGTATTGCATTGGTTAAATATAGTAATGCAGTTCTCACCAAGACATAAAATTAACTAATATACCTGCATAGTTTATTTTGTATATTTTTAAAATTAAAATTTTGTCTAGTTCCAATTGAAAACTACGCAAAAACACTGATGTCATTCTTCTTGATGTACTTAGGCCTTTAAATTCTTACACTGTATCTTTAAAATATTACTCTTCCCTATGAAATATTTGACACTTTATGTTCCAAATGTACTACAAAAACCAATCACAAACATTTAAAATAATTCTCCTGTTGCAGCAAACCTGCAGACTAAGCTGATTTCTATTTGCCTTATTAGATGTTCATTAAAATATTTCCTTATAAATATCAAATTTATTCATTTTAAAATAACATAGGTTTTGTGAGTACAGTACCTACTTAGGTTAGCTGATGCTGAAATGGGAAAAGTGTTTTTTTTTTTTTTTTTTTTTTTTATGAAATGGGCCTATTAATAATAGTATATGATGAAACACATACATTTGCCAAATTTCATAAAAAACCCATAAACAAGCAAACTACAACAATGTACTTATTCTCTAAAAGAATAAAATGGGAATTTTACATTTAATATTTTACTTTTTCACTTAACCACTAAGCGTACAACTATGCTTCAATAAATTATGTTGTTTTAGTTATTCAAAATGGTTTAGATATGTGAAATTTAATGTCATTGGCAAATAAGTTTTTTGGTTAAATGATTTAGTAGGTTGAAACTTCAGTTTTTTCCTGTTTAAGTGAACTCATTATTAATGCAACTATTAAACTGGTAAATTACTGTACCATGCATTTTATGTCTCTGACCCACCTTCCCTCACACCCAAGGAAGCTAGTCTCCAGCTCGGAATCGTTAAGCACAGGCTAGGCCTTAGGCATAGGGGGTCGCAGTATTATTACTTAAATAAAATCCATTGATGGTTGGCAAAATTCAAACAAGGGGTCTAAGAACCAAAGTCCCGTGCTATTACCTCTTGAATAGCGCTTTCCACGTTGGTGCTTGTAACGCTATTGTATCTACAGGAGACTAAAGCCAGTTTTATAATGACTTTGCTCGTGTTGCAGGGAGGCCTGGTAGGATCTGCCTCACCTCAACAGACTATGACATGGCTACAGACCAACAGATTTGCTGCGTATCTGCACACATTCGCCAGCTTCTCCGGAGCAGACCTCATGCGGCTCTCCCGTGATGACCTTATCCAGATATGCGGCTTGGCTGACGGCATCCGTCTCTTTAATGCTCTTCATCCCAGAGCAAAGTAAGCTACTCGGTGACACTTCTGTTTTCCATTCTTTTAGTTCACCTGCTGATCTAAGACAAGTAAGGTACAGAGGAATTAAGGTTAGATAGTGTGCTTTCAGCTATGACATGTTGGGCCAAAAATATACTTGTGGCGATCATGAAAGAGCCCAAACGGCAAGCACTGTGCAGAAATTCCTATTGCACAAGGCACAGGGTCTTTCCCGCCGTTAGCATTGTAGTACATTATGGAGAGGGGGGGTGTAGGAATTTGTCTAGGAACACTAGCACCAAGTACTAGACACATTTAAGTGTATTATTAAATGTTTCCTCTGTACCATACTTCTCTTTGGGTTTAATTAACACATAAAATAGCTCATAACAATATGTTAGTACAGTTGAACCTCGTTTGTACGAACCTCAATAAAACAAATTCCTCGGTAAGACAAATTTTTTTTTAATCCCCTTGACACTTTCATATAGGTCAATTCTAAAAATACCTCTATACAATGTAGTAATTAAGTTAAAACCCTCCATAAGACGAATTTGTCTGTGACATGGGCTAGGACTGATTAACCTCTATACAACGAATATTCTTAGCACAAAACCTCTACAAGACGAACGTGACCTCTATAAGACGAATTTATCATAATCTTAACCTCCATAGTACGTAGTTTTCAAAACAAACAGAAGCTTGTCTCAACATGAAACCCCCACCCATCCCTCCTCCTTCCTCAGTCATTGTTTGGAAAAACCTTGGAGCGAGGAGATACCTCTATAAGAAGAATAACAGCAGCATTAAACCTCGATAAAACAACCCTCTTTATTAAGAGTACCTCTATAGTACGAATTTTCCCCGTACCCCTTGAAATTCGTCTTATAGAGGTTCAACTGTAGCCCATTTCAATGCCTCGCTACACTCATCAGTTAAAACATTGCTCTTGCACTCGCACCCAGTAGATTTGCTGTATATAGTTGTAGTGCAAAATATTGAACAAGTCTGCCTAATGAATGTCATATTGTAATTTATCCAGAATCATCTTCTAACCCAAAATATATTAGGCCTAAATAGTTTTAGTTGTATAAAATCTTAGCTGTGTATTAGGTATTAACCTTTTGGCTATAAATAATAATATGTTTGACAAAGAGTAACATCATTTAACTTCCACTTCACACTATCTATGCGAGTATAGATTCAACAAAAACAGTTGAAGTTACCGTATTGAAATGTGGTAGTCAAGAAATACTAGTGCTGTTTAGATTGACCGGTGTTGTTAGTACGGTATAACTAATGTTACATCACTGTACATTGAAGGCTAGAACCCCGTCTCGGTCAAGTCTGTATGATCGGAGATATCTCTTGGTGCTTTTTACTCATACCTAGGTTTCTTTCTCACAAGGCCATCAATGTCTGCAACTGGTGGTCGCTAGTTACTGGCCAGAAGATTGTACTGCCAGTTACTGCCTGCTTGAAGGTGTGCAGGCAACTGGCAAGCAATTTCACCAAATTTCCATATGTCCAAAGTGTCATTTGACGAGCTTATAAAAGCATTCCACGTCCTACCAAAAAATAAACATGTTTGTATCTGTTTCCGTACGCGAACTTACCATTTCCCCAAAACAGGTAATGATACGATTACGGTATTTAAGATAGTGGCTGTATCTTAAAGCTCCCATTTAATTCAATGCCCCGCAACGAGTTGCCGCCACTGTGGTACAAGGGTTAACCAGCATTGGTTGTTGCAGGACAGTGTACCTGTGTGTACAACAGTCGCCAGTGGTGTACCAAGCAGTGTACCTGGCTACCTTGTCCAGTAGGGAGATGTGCTCCAAGGCCGCTGCGCTGGTCGGCCTCTCACTAACCCAGCTGTCCCAGGTGTACATGCAGGGACCCAACGGCATACACGTACTCGTCACCGATGAACTTGTGCGCAACATCAAGGACGAGGCCACTTTTGCCACTGAACTTATATCTGGTAAGACAAGCTGACACACATTCTCTAGCTATAGGCTGATTGTCAATGCATGGCTGAATCTTTTGGATCCAACCTGAAAAGAGAAATAATTTGAAATAAAAACTTGGACTCTTCTCAACAATCAATATATTGATAGGATTCATAATGATTCGTAAGTTATTTGTTTACACATATTAAAACAACTATGTCCAACAATTTTTGTTTTTAAGATTATTCAAAAAGTGTACGCTTTGAAATCCATATACAGTAGACTCCCTCTTATCCGGACTCCTTGGGACCGAGGCCAGTCTGGATGACAGTTTTTCCGGTTAAACAGATGACCCCAAAAACTTGTTAAATCGGACCTTTTGAATGCATACTGTATACAGTATTTGACTTAAATTTAGGAGAGCATTGTATTAGACACGTGATCACTGATCTCAAATCTTTCCCACGAGAACAGTCGATTCAGTACCACCCACTTCCTGCCAATCTAGTCCGGTTAAACCGATGTGCTGATAAAAATTATCCGGATGGAGAGATGTCACTTCTACCGGGTGTAGTCCGGTTAAACCAATGTCCGGATAAGAGGGAATCTACTGTAAACTGGTTTCTGCTCCAATTTCGAGCCATCTTAAGGCAACATAGATGTCCTACAATAGAGTAGGGAAATTCCGTTGCCTTGAGATTAGGGATGGACGAGATTGGATTTTTAGTTCGAGACGAGACGAGATTTTTTATTTCTCATAAAATTTCGAGACGAGATCGAGACGGGATACACAACGGGAAATGCACGTTCAAAATTTTTACCTGATTTTGTAACATTGTTAGGTGACTGTTTAAATACAAAAATAATGATAATAGGCAAGAATATTTACAATCTTTTATAAAAAAAAAAACATCAGCATAACATTTTTTTATTATTCACAACTTATTAAAATGCCTACGATTAGGAAACATAGTGATATCAGTTAGGATAGAGTTCAACTTATCCTAAAATAAAATAAATCATAAAATAAAAGTAATATTAATTTTTATAAAATAGTTACTTGTTTTGACTTTTTATAGTATAATAAAACATTCCTCACACTGCTTACACTTAACAAAACTTCTCAAATGTTATTAAAGTAATATTATTAAAATAATTAAAGTAATATTTACATTAAAAGAATTAATTAAATAAGAACGCCTTCACAAAGGAAACGCAACTACAACACGCTCCAGTATTGCGGGTATTGCATTGACTTTCTGCAGGCGTTTTTTTTTTTTTTTTTTTTTTTTATTCTCGTCTCGATAAAAATCTCGGCCAAAAAGAAATCTTGTCTCGTGTAACGAGATTTAAAATTTCCCGAAATTTCGAGACTTGACCATCCCTACTTGAGATAATAGTCAGGAACGTTCCTTCCTTACTCCTTAGCTTTTTGGTAATATTTGAAGTAATACCATTATTTTTGTCACCTATTACCTACGAAATATGTGTCATAATAAGACAACTCGATCAGCGTTTTTTCACTCGCTGTGTCTAACAGTTCAGGTGACGTTACAAAAATGTATTACTAAAGGGACTATTTTATTTTGTGATGCTCGCCGTTAATAGGAAGACACATTCAGTTTTATTTTGACCACTATCTAATTAGTATTCTTTTGTTGAGTTGAGTTGAATAGAGTTCAGCGAGCTTACCTGAGATAATAGAGAGAAACCTTCTCTGTGAAGAAATCTACACCAGGAGGACACATCAGTGTTTTGTTTTATTTATTGTGTTATTGTGTATCTATTAGCCCCTGCATTCTGAATTTCTCAGGTGTCTAGCTAGTATTACTTTTCAACAAATCCTAATATTTATTTTAGGGATGGTTAAGTCTCGAAATTTCGGGAAATTTTCAATCTCGTTACACGAGACGAGATTACTTTTTGGCCGAGATTTTTATCGAGACGAGAATAAAAAAAAAAAAAAAAAAAAATTAAAAACGCCTGCAGAAAGTCAATGCAATACCCGCAATACAGGAGCGTGTTGTAGTTGCGTTTCCTTTTCGAAGGTGTTCTTATTTAATTAATTCTTTTAATGTAAATATTACTTTAATTCTTTTAATGTAAATATTACTTTCATTATTTTTATAATATTACTTTAATAACATTTAAGAAGTTTTGTTAAGTGTAAGCAGTGTGAGGAATGTTTTATTACTATAAAAAAAGTCAAAACAAGTAACTATTTTATAAAAATTAATATTGCTTTTATTTTATGATTTATTTTATTTTAGGATAAGTTGTACTCTATCCTAACTGATATCACCATGTTTCCTAATCGTAGGCATTTTTAATAAGTTAGGCGTGATTAATAAAAAAATGTTATGCTGATGTTATTTAATGAAAGATTGTAAATATTCTTGCCTATTATCATTATTTTAGTATTTAAACAGTCATCTAACAATGTTACAAAATCAGGTAAAAATTTCGAACGTGCATTTCCCGTTGTGTATGAGAAGAGAAATCTCGTCTCGATCTCGTCTCGAAATTTTATGAGAAATAAAAAATCTCGTCTCGTCTCGTCTCGAACTAAAAATCCAATCTCGTCCATCCCTAATTTATTTAGTTATTTATTGTTTCTAAATGTTTCAGATCAGTCTGGAGAAGGGCTGTGTTTGTTGCTGAAGCCTCCTCCCCTCTGAATTGTCTTGCCTCACAAATGACTTGCCTTCAAGTGATTAATGTAACCCTAACAATACAACCAAAGGACAGAAGTTTTCAAAAATGTCTTAAGTTTCCATTCCGCCTGCATGCTCTATGGCTTTTCACATTGTGAGTTTTAATCAATCTTGCACTTGCAAATAGTTGACCATAATTGTTGTCAATGTGTATAACTTTATCCCATTGTATTAAGGTGTGCACTTCATAGCTTGCATAGTTAGTGTTTAGAGATAGAGATGTATTTGCTTTTATTTGATTGAAGTTTTAATTTTAAAATGTATTTTATGAATCTGATTTCTAGTATGTTAAAGTAGATAGATTTTTTTGCTTGTTAGTAACCAGTATCATTTTTGTTTAGGGTTGTGTTGTACAATTTATGCATATCCAACATTTTGAGCATCACAGATATTTTGTCGAACAATTTTTATCACATTTTTTATAGTATAAGTACAAGAATTGGTTTTTGTGCGTTACACAATTTTTTGTTTTACATTTTCTCTTAAAAATTGTTCATTGTATTTTTTATATGTTCAAGTTTAGTGCATTCTGTTAAATTCAGAATTTCTGTTACTTACTCTAATACTGTGGCGTTTCATTCTTAGTGATTAAAAATTTTTGTTCTGTGATGGCTTTTTTTGTATTGATTTTTAATGTTTTACTTATTTAAGACTTTGTTTAATATGTATACAATATGATGAATTTATTGTTATTTCGTTGTTAAAGTACCATGATGGAAGGGAAAAACATAGGTGTGCTATCCCCCCCCCAGATTGCAAACACCTTTCACCATTTAGAAAAAAAAAATGTAAAAACAATAACAATCAAATAAAAACAAATATACACTTATATGGCAATACAATCAGGTGATTTTTTGTTTGCAATCTGGGTGACGTCAGCATATGACGGGTTTAGCACACCTATGTTTTTTCCATCCACCATGGTGTTAAAAAACTATATAGTTTACTAAGTGTTAATCTGCATGTTGTTATTAACCATTTTATTGTGTCTTATCTTGACAGTAGAAAGATTTCTAACAATTAGTGGGAAGATTCGGGGGTTCTTGAGAGGCTACTGTCCATTTTGTCTTTGTTTTCTGGCTAAGGGTCTTACAAGTTAAAGAGTTATATAGGTTGTAGCTGTGTATATTTGACTTATTAACCTACCATAAGTACATCTGCACAAACATAAGTTGTTGGCTTAGACAACTGGAAATAGTACTGTTTGGGATGAGTTAATTTTGATTTTGGTGAATAGAATTTGTGAGAGGTATAAGGGGAGCGAGCTGCGTATTTAGGTCGAATTGCTTAGGTTAGTAATATAGTTACAGAATATCTCCCCACCCCTCCTGCAGGAAGCCAACTTGTCTAGTAGCTTGATATTTTATCACCTGAATATCTGTAGGGTTAGTCTCTACCTACCTTAGTACAAAACATCAATATAATATAGTTCTTAGGAAACATCGCTTGTGTAGAGCTTAAAATATTAAGTCATAGATAACCTTCAAGATTATGAGTATCGACAATGTAGCGAAAGTAAGAAATACAATGTATTAAACCTGGGTTATATTACTCAGGTTGAGGATTTTTTCTCAGGAAAGTGGTAGATTTGGCATAGCCAATTAAACAGACGGTTAATATATTATCTCAGAATCTTGCTTTGGATATATTTTAGCTCAATATTATTCAGTAGAATAGGAAACATATGTTATGTTTATGAATGTTTATAACTCGGTGTTGAAGTTTAAATCTTTGTCATGGTGACTGTCTGGTCTGAGGCAGGGAAAAGCATATTTTGTGTAATTTGTCGTTAGTTTTAAGCATTTTATTTTGTTGGTAGTTTATAGTCAATGTACCCCGGTCTATACTCTAGGTGTATTACAAGCCATATATAATTTTACCATGTGTACCTTTAAGTTTGTGCAGGTTGAACATAGCCTGTGAACAAATTTAAGTAAATTCTTTGGACGTTTCAGAGCCACTAGTTTCTTCACTTTTCAACCATTAGTGTTTTTGAATTAAGTTAGACACAAATACGGATTTTTATGTAGAGTTAATTTAATTTTTCATCTCAATTTTTATCTAGAAAATGCAGCTTCTATCACAGTGCCTTCTTAAAAAACTTTAAGTAACGTGTAATATCATAAAATTTCTTAATGTTAATAACATGCCAAGTAAATTTCAAGCTTACCAAAAGTGCCTGTTCATATTTTCACCTAGAATTTTTTGTATGCAGGTAACAGTGGCTTAGTTTTCATAAAATAGTTATCTGATGGAATATAAATGTATCTATACAGCTTAACATTGTTAACGGTTAACGTGTTATTGGTTAATGTTAACGGTGTTATCATAATTCTAGGAACAACAGAAAACAAGGTGACAAGACTTTATTATGAGTTTCAGTTTACTCTACTATGTATTGTTTAAAATTGTCAATGTGACTTATCACTTGTCAATTACCACACTAATAAACACAGAAGTTTGAGAAATTGTGAAGTAATGTAGAAAAATTAAATAAATAAGAAATTCTGAGCTTTACTATGAATCAATTTAGGCTGTGTAAAAGGAATTTAGATTTTTGTAAATTTTAAATCAGCTGCTTTCTTGTTTTTTAAGTTTGTTTAATAGATCATTATTTGCTTGGCTGTTAATAAATTTATAGTTTACCTGTTTGTTGTTGTATTACTATTACTGCCCAAACCCATTACTCACTCTTTCTCTAGTAATAAACCTTCCTTTATCGTTATTTTTTACACTGATCTAACCCATGGTGGAAGGAAAAAACATGGGCGTGCTATTCCCACATATTCTGACGTCACTCGGATTGCAAACAAAAGATCAATTGATTGTAACTGTCAAATTGGTATGTATTTGTTTTACTAATTTGACAGTTACAATCAGGTGATCTTTTGTTTGCAATCCGAGTGACGTCAGAATATGTGGGAATAGCACACCTATGTTTTTTCCTTCCACCATGGATCTAACCCTGACCACTTGGTAATATTTCTGTAATTGTATTGATCACTACAAACTGAAGTGTTGCTTTATATCCTTAACGGTTTATGCTAAGGCTGATTAGTACTCCTGACATTAGAGTAAAATTACTAACATTTTGCTTACAAACGTCTACACATACCTAGGTGTGCGTTGCCTAAGAGAAGTAAGGTATAGAGCAAACTTGCTTATGGGACGACCATGCGCTTTCAGCTCTAGTATGTTGTGCCGGAAATATACTAACGAGGAAGAGCCCGAGCAACGAGCACTGGAAATTCCTACGGCACAAGCTCTTCCTCTACTGTGAGCGCTGTAGTACATGAGGGTGAGGGAGTCAGTGTTGGACTTTGCCCTAGACACCAGCACTAGTGCTAGTCACCACTTAAGTGTACCATTGAATGTTTCCTCTGCACCTAACTTCTCTGTGGTCGCTGTCTTAAATGAAGTATCTCTACAAGTACGGCTAATAGGTAAATTCAACATAAGGTGCAACCAGAGAATTTTAGAACCATTATTAGAACTAAGCCATCTAAAATTTTCCCAGGCGTGGAGATGGAATTTTAGATTAAGAGTTCTGATATTTTCTCTGACGGATCAGGTGTGAAACTAGAAGTTCACCTGATATTGTGGCAAAGCGTGGTGGGAGAGGCCCGCCTGAAATAAATGGATGGTTTAGGTGGAAGTTCAGGAAATAGGTGAATACTTTGTGTGTTGTACCTCAAGCCAGGAATTTCATAGTTTAAAAGCTTGTGTAAAAACTAGCGACCACCCAAATAATTCTGGTTCAAAAGATGAGGGAAAAACCTGATAAAAGGTTAATTAAATCTGAAAAAAGTACGGAAAACTTTTTCAAAGAACAGACGCAATCCCTTATATTGTTTTTGACTGATACATTTCCATGTTTGATTTTACCACTAGACATATTTTACAGTCGTTGTGATAGTTTCATACGGTGTTAGTATTGAAAACCAAATTAGAATTTTGACCACTTAATGATTGGAAAATATAAAAAAATATTGACCATGGTGCATATTTTTATATTTAGAGATTGTAAATCAAATAAGTCCAACAGCCCATATTCAATTTGCACATACGATGGCTTCGATACAACTATACGTTCCATCCCCATGTTAGAGTTTTCACCAGTTTTCAAAATCGTAGTTGATGTGAGCCACCAACAGATTGCACTGATATAAATGACTAATTTCTGTCAATCACATTAACATTTTCACCAACTCAAACTTATGGAATGACTTATTGTGAGCTGTAGCAACCGTTATGACCCATCAACCTGTTCAGTAACAAAAAAAGGTAGAAAATTAGATTAATGACACTAGCACATTCTGTGATTGGCCCTCAGAACTATGTTCTTTCTCAATAAAAAAATTGTGACAGCTGGTCTATATAGATGGGATGTACTTCAGTATCCAATAAGCCAATGACAATGGAAAGTATTGACTAAAAGGTAATATGATTTTCAATTTTATTACAGCACTTCAATAAGCATCTTACTGAATAGTCGAATGCCACGGGTCAGGTATGGAGAGGATGTTATTGATCCAGTAGTGCTTAACAAGCTGGAAGTGATTCTGTCAGAAATAACTCAATTACTAACTGCTAAACTGTCACTGTGTTTACAAAGTGAACGTTATTTGCTTTAGGTGTTAACTCGAGTTCATTGACTGAATATGATCCAAACAAGAAGGTTGTAGAGGAATATGATGAGGTTAGTAAGCGTAAACAATATGATTGTACTATACAATTTAGGAACACAAAATAGTTTGTAACAATATAAAATAAACGGTATCATTAAACTGACACATACTTTCTCCCATTAGCTTGTCAACAACCCTTAAGCGGTGGGACGAACACTATGATATTTCACGGGTAAAATCACAAAGAATTGAAATAACAAACATGAATTTACATACATGTTCATTTAATTCATACTTTCAAAAATTAATGAACTGTAATTTTTACATAATCGGAGATTGTACTGTTTTGTTAGAGCTAAAAGGTCCATAACAAAAAATGTTTTTTATCAAAATCGTAAAAGCCTTTTTTGTAAAAATTCGATTCTTCAATTTTATGGGTACAGTATAAGAATAACACGGGAATTTTGAATTTTCCGGTTTTTTGCATTTTCTCCGTAACTATTAAGTATGCAATTACACTTCAACATACTTTTGTTTTTCAACAAATTCATTTGAAGGTTGAAAATGGGAAAACCCACTTTTTACTGCATAACCCGTACACATAGTCTGCTGATCATATTAGGTTGAGGACTCATTCAAATAAGCGTAGGTTTTTCATGCCAAATTTCTACAAAATTGGAATTGAGTTACCGTACTGTGCTTGACACATATATTGGATAAATGCTTGTATAAATTTGAACAAATGGGGTTTTTGGCCTCTGGGGACATCAAAACGAAAAAGGAAATAGGTCCCAGATCTTCGTTTTACCACATGATCTACGGTTATAGCTTATTCCCTATTAGGAAATTGACTAAAACTATCAAAGATTTAAAAATTATATATATTTGGCAGGACAAAAAACACAACAAATATTCAAAGTTTCATGAAAATCTGAGATGGTCATATCAGGTTGATAAGAATTTTTAATTTCTTGTAAAATGACCCTCTAATTACCTTTCAAACATTATAATTACTTACAATGGTTTACAATACCTGCATATAGTAATCCTTTGTTGCTTTCTGGAAATTAGTTTCGGTTCCATGGAACCATCTCCAGGCCTCAAGGTGTCAAGAAGGTGATCACTTGATTGTAATAATTATAATTAATCCTAAACAAATTATTACATCAACCTGAATTAACCTGTGGGTTCGTTTAATTTGGTTGGGATCTCAAAATTGCCTTTAGAACAATGAAAAGTGCAATTAAGCAGACTGTAATTAAAAAAATAAGTTAACCATCCTAACCAAAAATAATTTTGTTTTACACTTTTGCGAGTAAATCTGAATAAAAACTACAACTTCCTTAAAACAAACTTGTACTAAATTAGTGAACTGCAGAGTGATATTCCAATTCCATATTTCTTTAGATTTTAAATGTCACTTGTCCGAGTAAATTCACCAGCTGCAAAGTTTACCTTTCAAAAAGTTGAAAACGTTCTTGTCAACTCAATCAAGATTGTCAATTGTTCACTTCATGATAATTGTAAACATTGGAAAGCTTTTAGAAACTTAGTTGTGCAAGTTTCTAAGTTTGGTCTGAAACATACCATGAAATAACCAACTTTCGAGAAAGAGCTTATTTACTTCACAAACTTTGTTTTCTCGATACGATTCTTATATCCTTGTATATTGGTAAAACTAAGCTGAAATTAGAAGAGGAAATACATAACTAGTATTAAATGTATCCATTTCACTCTAGAATTTATCTACGAGAATGAAAATGTAGGTACAGATTCTAATAATATTTTAACAATTTTTTTGTAGTTTATAATATTATACAAAAAAGAAATCTTAATATACCGTTACCTGTGCCCCAGTAAACCTGCAGAGTAAGCGAATTTCAAATTGTATGATAATTGGACTTCACTAACAAAATGTTTATAAACATTTCATATTTATTACCGTACCTACCCATTAAATAACATCATATTTAACGAGTACTTAGGTTGGGGAAGGGAAAGAGTGTTTTTTTTTAATCAATAGTAAAGGATGAAAGAAAGAAATAATTTGCCAAATTTGATCAAAATATATTCTTAAACATGCAAACCTCAATTTTTAAGAATAACCAGGAAATTATAAAATTTACAGTTTTATTGGATTTTTTTTCATAACCTGTAATTGTACAACAACGCTTCATCGAACAAAATTGGTTGTTTTTAAGCTCTACACGATGGCTGTAATGAAGTTGGGCATTCCCAAAGGGGAAACATGTGAAAAAGATTTAAGAAAATTTCAAACCCTGATGCCTCCCTCGTTCTTATTACCCAATTTTGCTGGTTCACGAACTCAATCCAGTTTATCCAGCTCTACACATATATTCCAAACTTCATCAAAACCGGATCGCGGAATACAATAAATCAAGTTATCATTTTCACGGACACACACACATGTACAGTATTACAATTTAAACAAATAGTTCAATCCAATTTTTAAAAAAATTAGTTTTTCGTAGCGTTTTGGCCTTTGGAAACATCAAAATGAAAAAGAAATCGTTCCTGGCATTTAAATGAAAGCATTGACTACCTATTGGAAGGTAAAAGTTAAAAACATACAGGGTAGTTCATTGATTGGATTTGATGAGTTTGTCTAATTTAATATACAAAGTCGATGATCTAAAGTAATAACGATAAAATCCCCGAGGACATGGGATGATTAAATCTGTCCTGTGTGTAGAGTTTTAATAGAGAAACTCGATATTGTGGCACCGAAATAGTAGCTTTGTTTGACGTAGATTGACTGGGTATAATGTTTTTAATTTCCAATAACATCGTGAATAAATACACCAAAATAAATCTGAGAACAAAAAGTCTTGTCCGCCCAGCTAACTGATCTGTAAGTTTATGTTTGTTTAAAAATGACAACAATGCAGTACCGTACACGCCTAAACTGAGGGTAAATCATTTAACATCTGATGTCTGATCCACAAACATTAATTGAGCGGAGCGAGCGAAGCGAGCGAAGCTCTTATACGTCGACTTTTATG